CTAACCAGGAGTTCTGACTACAACTTGAATATTTTTTCTCTGAGGTCGTGAAAAGTTTCTTCAACCGTATTTCCTGGTATTAACATTTGTAATCATCTCGTTAATTATACTCTGTTCGAAGTTGACACGCCATAAAATGAGTTCGTCAGAAGCAAAATCGTCAAAACATGGACTCCTTTTCTCCTTGAGGATTTCCTTGAGAATGGAAAGATTATTATTCGTTTTAACTGAGATTTTGAAAGCAGACTTATTTCCTTTGCAAGACACCAAAGAGGGATGGTCGACAATTTTTAGATAAAAGAAGAAGAATTTTTGAAAATTGGGTGTTGTGCAAATAGTCATCTGAGGCACAATATATATATGAGAAATCGTTTGTCGCACAATTTTTGACTTTTTAATTATACTTTTTACTTACTACTTTTAGACGTTAATAAATTTATGCAATTCATCAATCATATTTTCTACTTTTATTCTTGCTGTACGTATTTCAATAAATAAATCAGGCAAATAAACTTTGCCGCCTTTGATAAAAGATTTTCATTGTTCGAAGTACGTTAGTATCCTTTTAAAATATTGTTTCTTTAACATTATAAAATTTATTGATTTCGAAAGGAAATCAATTCAACGCGAAAAAAATTATCTCGCAACTTTTTTTCATATTTACCAAATATAATAAAATATTAAAAAAAAAAAAAATCAGATATTTGGAATTTATTTCTCTTTCTCTTCCAGCGCCACGCCATGGCTTCTTTTTTCCTATAAGTTATCGATCGGATAGCTATTTTAATGACCTGGACTCACGACCTTACAGGTCATACCTTTACTTTAAACCCAGTTCGGGAATTATCCGGTGGTGTAAATAAAAAGAAAAAAAGTTATAAATCATCAGGATGCTCCACTTAAAATAAATATATGAGATTCTCATATAGTCTGTTTTCACATTTCGTTACGCTGTTAGGGGTAATATACCATATTTTGACTGACTGAACAATCCTGATGACCAGGAGTGGTCATGTCATACCTTCTTAGCCGTAATGTCTTTTTCAATTAAAAGTTTATTGTCCTCTCGTTTTAAGGTCATTTTTTTAAGCGTGATGCATGACATACATTTCCTCTTGCATATTTTTAATTTGTGGATACATCAAAAGCCAATAAAATATCAATACAAACTATAACTTTTTTTTAAATTTTAGTTAGAAATTCATTATCGAACAATACATATTCCATAATTTATCTTTGATTGTCCAAGAAATATAAGTCATTTTAGGAAAAAATTACAGAACTTTAGTTTAGTTAATGTGAAATTTGCTGCGCAAAAGTAAAGATCGAAGATATAACTTATAATCTTGATATGATACATAATTATATTGTGTATTTTTATCTCAAAAAATTAGAAAAATTATTTATGGACCTTAGTCAAAAATCAATTGCTTAGAAAATCTTGTTTAAATCCATCATCATTATATTAAGGTTACGGGGGGCAAAACCCAAATTTATTTTTGCAAAAGTCGAAACCTTTCGATTTCGATTTCGATGTGTTTCGAGGGTTTCGTCTCTGTACAACATATCTTAACGTTAATGCCGTGTTGGCCTTTGGTCGTTGGCCATTTGGCCAATTTGGCCGGCCAAAATGGCTAAAAAAAATCTTGGCCAAATTCCAATCAAATTCTAACAAGTATTATCATAATTACATTTATTAATACCTAAGTTATTTGGCCAAAATTTGGCTGTTAGCATTGAATGCTAACACTGCGTTAAAGAGCAACGACTACACGTATATCCATATCTGTTGAAATATCTATTATCTGATTATAGTAAATATTTCCAGTATTTTCTACACTTGGAACTCTTAGCGGATGCAACTCAATCCCGACAACCGTTTTCCGATGATAAATTCACTCAATAACATAAAAAGTTGAATGATTATCTTTTTATTTAGATTATTTATAAATTTAAAAAAGCATCAGACCGAGATGGGAGGTCAAAATTATTAAAAAGGTTAAATCAAATGGAAACACCAAAGTTTAAAATGTTAAATATTGGATCAATCCAAGAATAAAGCAGCTTTAATTCTTAGGCATATATTTCACAATTTGCTTTTCGACTTTACTTCTGACACGCTTTTCATTAATTTTTTTGAGGTTTTTCAAAATTTCTGTCCTATAAACAAATTCTCTTAGTGCTAATCGATGTCTGCTTATGTCGTTAATACAAATATTTTATTATTTCATTAATCAAGGGATGCAAATAAAATATAATAACGACTTCGTTTCCAAACAAAAAAAAAAAAATTCGCAAGTAAATTACAATTTCATACTAGTACTAATTTTACCATCATGCATTTAATTATTCGTGAAATTTTTTTTTTTTTTGTAAATCACCAGAAAACTTTTTCCTCATTTATCCTTTTTTATTAAAAATAACCTCTTTTGGAGCATTGTTCAAGAAACTCGGTTCTATCTTCTCTGTCAATTTTGGAACAAATAATAATGTTATCGATCTCAAGATTGCTATACTTTGCTAGGTTCCAAACTGACGTTGCTCAGAGTGAACTAAGAACAAGAATACTTCATTCTATTGATAGTTTCGTTAGTAGTTTTTAAATTACGAATTAGTAAATACTGATGATTCGGTTGAATCAATTTTTCCTATGTCGAAGGAAGAAACGTTAGAGTTATTGTCATTAATCATAACTAATTTAATCAAAACATAATTCTTTTCATCTTCTTTATCTTATAATATAAAGTATAATACTGAACAATAATAACAGTAAAACTATATCACTTAAAATGTGAGATCACCCAAGAATAAATTGTGCAGAGTTTACCCTAACGATTCTTTATGCGAACATATCATTTGCTGAATTAATAGACTAAAACTGCGCAATTACGAACAATTACGAAAAAATTGATAGAATGTCGTGTATGATGTTATCAAATATCAGTGTAGCACTATTATTCGCAAAGTGGGTACAGAGAAAATTAAAGATAATCTGCCAAACTTCTCTAACAATAAATAAGTGTGAAGAGTTAAATCAAGAATTTGAACGAGAAGTACGAGAGATTCAAGCTGTGAGTTTCAAAAGAATTTGTAATGTAATCGAAATTTTGCCGAAAAAAAAAATCATAAATTTAAAGAAACAAACATTACAATAAAGAAAAAAAGTAACTATAGAAATGTGAAAGTAATGAAATCATAGAATACACTGTCATTATATTTATTACTGAATTAAAAAGCAAAAGCAACAAGATTTGTTTTTCGTTTGTTTACTAAGAAATTTCTAATACTATAATATATTATAACAAGAAAATAATTAATCCATTGTAAGATGGGAATAATTTCGATATCAGAATTGATATTGACACCAAAATGTAAAAGAAAACAATAATTGAGAAATACTGATAATCATGTAAAAGCAAACAGATAAGTAGTACACACCAAATATTCAAAACTTGTTACTGTAACTCCCATAGATCCAGTTTAAAATAATTTGGTGTTCCAGCGGGAACCCTCCTGGAATGACATTAAAGAGTAGGTTCGCAGGTATAGTTATTTGGTAGTACGTCATGCCAGCTGCCATCAGTATGATGTAAGTAGCCAAATATGTAATGAGGTATACCAGTATAGTATGATTGAGCGTTGCAAATCCAATAAATCCAATGATGTTCGATAACGTTATCATGAGCAGTGTATTTGGTGGATGGTTTGGAGTATTTAGTGTTGGGTTTGGGATTTTATTGTTACGTAAATAAAGTAACGCGAGAATTGCAGCGGTTGCCATTCCGCCGATAAGGAAATGTCTTTATTGCAATATAAATTTCAATAAAATTTGTCTGTATAGAAGCAGAAAACATTCTCCCGCCAAGTTATGCAAACTTTCGAGATCCTCAATTTTTTCCCACTTCTACAATCATTCTTGGCTGCAATAACTCAGACCCTTCTGGCGGAATCATCTTTGGCACAACTGCGACACAACGCAATACTCACTATCATTACCAACGGTAATATCCAACAAGAAGTTAGTTACTCCAACTTTCTATAATAGAACCAAATCCTCCTTATACTACTGAGTGTATGCTTTCAGGCAGCTCGTTCGCAATAACCTTTCCTTTAATTAAACGGACATATATATTAAACCTCCGTTTCTCTTCACGGAAATTATGGTATCTTTGAAGAGACACGCCACTGAAAACTATAATTTCTTTTGGCACCTCTTCCACTATTGCACTCTCTTCTATACTTCTATCAATTCGAGTAAGCAATTCTTTTAATAGTTCAAAATTTTCTTCAGATTGCTCATAGGCATCGTGAGAAAATCATTTTTAGATCAATGATTATGTAATATTTTACTATATATCGATAATCACGCAACAAATGAATACGGCGTCTTCTCAATAATCCATATTATCTTTGAATTTATCAAAAACAATTTATAGAAGGAAATGTAATTATTTAACTAGCAAAAAGTATAGATTGTCGTTTAAAAACTTAATATAAATTTCTATCAAATTTTATTATGCATTATAAAATTTTTTGCCCTGGTGTCATTTTACTTGAATCGATATTTCACTTAATTCATATACTGTATGCATTAACTCGCATCTTTTATGTATACACAGAATGACCCCAAGTCACTAACCTAATCAACTTCACACTGTGAATAATTTTAGTTCCATCAGATCGATTGGCAAAGGACATATCATCTTTATTCATTTTGTCTCAATTTATGATTGTAAAGGATGTTTATTGCATTTCAATTTTTGATTTTATCTAAATATTATTCGTTTTTGGTTTGCTTGCAGGAATGAGAAAAATAATTTTCGAACCATTCGTTCTATGACGTAAAGCGAAAACCTTTGAATAATAACAAATAATCGCGCACAATTTCAATCAATTTTATAAATGAAATTTTTAAAATCTTCCTCATTATTATACTAATACATGCGATATCAATCCAACCTACCACCAAATGACTTGAAATGACAAATGACTCGAATCCTTTGAGCAAATAAATAACATTGTGCAATTTTAGGATAAATTCTATATAAATAATAAACTGTATGATTTTACACGATTTACGGATGGAATTGATTTTTTTATATAAAAAGTTAAATTCAATTTCATCAATGACAGAATTAATGCATTAAAAGTTTGCTATCAAGGATAATTTATATTTCACGTGTTCTTTTTTTTTTTTTTTTAAGGAATCTTTAATAAATATTGTATGTATTTTTATTCATCATTTTGCAGATCGACAAAAAAAATTATCAATTATCGCGGTACAATTTTTTTATACCATAAAATTTATGTGTATGGCTTATCAGATATCAGCAATCCCGTGAGTTTGAAAAATAGCTGTAATACATACTCCTAAAAGAATATAGTTTTGACTCTATGTTTGAAGATTTCGTGATATTAATAACGCAAATTACTTTGAATTGACTTTGGTCATTTTTTTTTTTTTAGGACGAACCCGGTATAAATGTGAAAAATAAACATAGTCATAAGAAATTGAATTCGATGAATAAAAACCAAACTTAACATATTATAAAATTCGATCTTATTTTTTTCTTGAACTTAGTTTACAATTAGCTTTAATGATTAAATACACAAATTTGAAGTTTATATTTCTTGAGTTATTTCTTATTTCATTTTAATCTAATTTATTTCAAACTATCAAGTATAATTTATAATTTCACGAGTTCTTTTTTTGGGGATATTGAAAGAATAATTAAAATTTCCAACAGCTTTTTTTCAGTAGGTTCATCGCGAAATATTGAATATTGTATATTCAGTTAATGCAATAATGAAGATTGCTAGGAAAATCAAGTTCTGAGAATTTTTTTAACTAAAATTAAGAACTTATTACATTTTATCTAATAACTTCGAAAACTAAAATGCAATAAAATTAAAAATTCCCAGAACCTGATTTTCCTAGAAATCTTCCCATATCATCATCTATTGTATAATTATCGTTCGTTATTTTACAATTCATGAATTTTCAACTACATATTTTTTTCCATTCTTATTAACACATGAATATGGATAGTATCATTTTTTAAGCTTATTAGAAGTTCTATTTTACTTAAAATGCATTATTTAAAATTTCCATATAAAAAAAGAAATTTTTATTATAATTTTTATATTTTGATTTACTTATTCCTTTTAGGCTTGCTTATTCATCAAGTTTTACTTCCGTGTTGAATGGCGCAGCATTAGACGCTTAATGATTTTTAGTTTTATTTTAAATATAGTTTAGCTAATTTTTATGGAAAATCTAGAAACAAAGGCAAAAGTATTGGCGCACAAATTTTCACACTCATTGTCGCACAAAATGATCAGACTTAAAAATAAATAAGTTTGCTTTCTTTCAATCATGATAGCAGGAATTTACAATATTTCGGAAATTACTCCTAACTTGCTTTTTGATCTTCTTAATGTAATTAAATTTCTTCAATTATTAAAATAAAGATGTTGCTTTATTTATTTATTCTTTATTTTTTATTTTGCATAAAACCTTTCCCACAAGTAACTCTCGAGTATCCAGAAGTTTATATTGAATCAGGAACGTCTAATTATGGGCTTCCTATGAATCAACTAACAAGTGATAAAGGGTTAGTTTGGGTGCTCGTAAGACTGCTGGCTTTACCGGAGGAACCGTAGGTGTCATTGTGTACCATCTTAAAGATCGTAATGAACCTTTGTCCTTCATGTAGAGCGTCCCATTTAACTACGGCTTTTACTCTAATTGGTGGAATATAAAAATTTTTAAAGGTCGTGTTAGAGCTAACCAAGGTAAGATTGATCTCCAGGCTTTAATTATCCAAACTTATCATCGCGATATTTATCCTTGTGTGTGTCATTGTTTTAGCATTATATGAAAGGATATTTCATGACCTTCCCCATGAAGGTGACAATAATATCTATCGCGGAATTCTAAATTCTGATCTTCTATACTCGGGATCCATGGGAAACTCTGGAATAACACCTACTATTGAAATAGAGATTTTAAATTATAGAACTATCAGTACAGCTTCTTCTTCCGCTTCTGTTAGCGAAAAAAAAGAAGTTATTAAAAAACTTTTCTAAGTTTATGATATAAATTCATTCGAGTTGTTGGATTTTCGTTAAAAAAAAAAATAATAATAAAACTTTTTTTCATGCTCATTTAGGAAATTTTAAAGTAATACGAAAAAGTCACGTGAACAGTTATCAATACTTAATGAAGTTTAGATTAGGTACTTCCATAATACGAACGTTTCCTTGATATCATGTACATTTACTGCGGACAAATGATCGTTACATGAAAAAAAGTTGTTTACATGTCGTGCAGTGCTGCACAAATGAAGTATAACAAATGAACAATTGTTTATCACATAATTATTAAAAAAAATATTTGTTTTAACTAGCCTTAATTAATATTATGACATATAAGTTGATTTTCTTCATATTAAGTTATTTTTTCTTTAAAGTTGAGCCATTTACTCCTTTAGGACGTCAAGCTCATTCCTCTGTCCTTGTTGAAAATAGGCTTTATTTTTTTGGCGGAGTTTCTGTTGATAAAAGTTGTTTAAATGAAGTCTTCTATCTTGATTTATCTCAACAATTTAATGTAGAGCTTCCGCTATGGACCGACCTTACATTAAAATCAGAAATAGGATTTAAAAGTTGTTGGGCAGCTACTGCATTAACTAATAATGATAATAATCCAACAATTTACCTAATTGGAGGAATAATGAGAAATCAAAATAATGAAGATATATCTACTTCTCTGGTATATACATATAATCTAAAATCAGAACAATGGAATATACCTGTAATGAAGGGGAAAGTCCCAGTACGACGTATAGAATTTCAAGCTGTTGCAGATGATTTTGGAAATATTTTTGTTTTTGGTGGAAGTGCCGGTTCAAAGATAGAAGCAATAAGAATTGATGTTAATGGTGACATAATTAGTCAATATTCTAATGACATGGCAATATTAAATACTCATTATTCAACATGGTCACATGGTCCTATTGTCAATGCTCCCTCACCGCGAGCTGGTTTTACTGCGACGTTATTATCAAATGGTGTTATTATATATATTGGTGGTATAGAGGCTTTCATTGGTGACACCGGAATTTTCGTAGATATTAATCAACTTTACCTTTATGATACCAAATTATCGTCTTGGTCAGTAGTGGTACGTATTTATATTAATATAAACTCCTTGTTAGAAAAATTTAAAAATTTAAACTTTTTATTTAATTTATTAAGCAAGCGAAAAGTAACGGTCAAATTGAATCTCGCTATTTACACTCGGCAGTTCTAGGTATACTTTTTTTTTACAATAAAAAAATTCATTGTGTTTTAAAATATAGTAATTAATTTATTATATAAATATATATATTATTAGTTTCTGATGGAAGAATCATAATTTATGGAGGGGCAAATCATATTTTAGAAACTGAAAATGTTAAAGTTTTTCCCGATTTGGCGGTTTTAAATACTTCAACATATCCATTTGAATGGACTATCCCAAAAGTATCAAATATTGTTGATGTTCCATCGCTTACAACTCATACAGCACATTTAGTTGGAGATTATATGATTGTTGCATTTGGTAAGTAATTATTTACATTTTCATTTAATCTGAAAGTTTTAATATTAACTATATTGAATTATAGGAAATATGACTCAACTAAATGCTCCACCGTCAGGTATAAGTTCAAGAATTTATTTATTAGATATTAGAAGTTATACTTGGGTTGATAAATTTGTCCCTGAGCCTATCCCGACAACTACGACTTCTGCAAAACCAACACTTACTACAGAGACTACAAATAGATTAAGTCAGGAAATGAAAGTTATAATTGGTACTATAAGTGGAATTGCCTGCGTCGCAATATTTTCAGCTATAGGAATCATAAGTTATAAGTTGTACCAAAAAAGAAAACATGAAATTATAAGGATTTCAGGCAATATTTAACTTTTTAATGGTGCTCAAAAGTTTTTTTTTAGGTTTAAATTGATCATATCAATTAGTCCAATGTATTTTGATACACAGAATTACAAATTCATTTATTTATTCAGGAGCAATCGAGAAATCTGGTTATAGATTAATCAAAATTAATTAATAAATTAATAAAAAGAAATTTACTTCAAATTCGTTAAAAATTATCTGAACTCAGCAACATATTTATTTTTTTTTTTTTCAAATACTATACTACTTGATCGCTGCGGCCTGTAACGTTCAAGTCCCCGAAAAAGAAAAAAACAGAATAATTATATAAAAATAAAAAATAAAAAATTACTTTTTACTTTGGATTGATCGCATCCGAAAAAAATGAGGAATCTATAAAAAAGCAAATAAAAAAAAAAATGGAACCGAGCTTTTTTTGCGGGATAATTTTGAAATCACTGAAATAAAAAAAATAACCATAGAAACAAAATCATTCGTTTTGTTGCAGACCGGAGAAATCGAACCAGTAACGTAAAAAAAAATCAAAAAGAAAATAATTGAAATTAAAAAAAATTAAATATACAAGCCGTTTACTTAGAGAATAAATAAGAACTAAAAAATTAGAAAAAAACCGCTACGAAGGTAACAAAATAGAGTATCTTTAATTATTCCTCGTCTAGATTCATTTAATATCAATCAGATTATGTTTCTTAAGTATATTTAGAATGGGAGCTGATTAGACCATAAAATGTAAAATTTGTGAAATGTTATTTTTTTGATAAAATAATTTTTTCAAATTCGATCAAAATCGTGCCATAAATAAAATTGATTGGAATCAGACTCGAGAAACGATTAATCGCGATAATCTTTTAAAAAATGAAACTTTTTTTTTAATCCAATCCCCAAGTTGAATTTTAAACGATCTATTTGAACTAATCATATTTAAGTGTCTCCAAAATACTTATAAAAGAACGTCAAGATGAATTTTGAACAATTCTTTAATACTAACAAAGTCCCAATGGTTGTGGGTATTTATTTATTCAATAATTGGCAGCAAAGTTTATGAAAATATTCAGCAGAGTTAAAACATAACAATATTTTATTATATAACGAATCAGATGCATGCAAGGATTTTCTCAGCACAACGATAGAGTTTAAGAACCTTTAAATGTACAAGGAAGTAATAAAATTTTCGCTTCAAATTTGTTCAAGAATAGTAATACGAAACTTTAGAAGAAAAATATACTTTTATACTTCAGAACAAATTCAAGTTAAAGAGCAAAACATCACAACACACGACGAAGTCGCTGCCTTTGAAACATATCTGAGTATTGTCCTAGGGGCCCCGTTGGTTTTAAAGCTTAAATTCCTAGTACGTAAAACCGTGACTAGTTCGCCTAGTGCAGGATATGATGACGTGGTATGAACAAGCCATGATAACTATTAACCTTATAAATTATTTTATGCATTTTTTAGTCGAGTTGTTTATCCATAATCAGTAACTCTTTGAGATGATGGACGTGTTGGATATGAATATAAAAATTTTGTTGCTATCAAATACTGTGATTAAAGGCTTTCATTAAAAGATTGTATATCGAAACTTCAAAAGGACTTTCATTATATATGTTTTTACGGAAGAGTGTTAAATTCTAAACCTTTTAATTTGTGCACTTTTGTGTATCTTTAATTGTAATTCAATATTGGATGTTTTCTTTAATAAATAAAAACAAAAAAGGTGTGACTGCAAATTTTAATTCAGTAATTTTGAACTATTTTTAAATCTAATTACTCTTTTTTTCATTTTCATTTTATTTAAAACACGAATTAAACCTGCAGATCCGCCTTTTAAAACAGATAGTGAAAATCTTGGTTAAAAAAAGTGTGTATTTTAAATTCACCTGAAAAATAAAAATGTCCAAGAATTCATTCATGATTTAAAAAATAATTCTTAAATTTTTTTAGATTTATTTTTACCTTGTAAGAATCAATAAAAATATAAGAAGTAATGACTTTCTTATTTGAAGCGTTGTGTATTTTTTTTTCTTGAAATAATTATCGCTATCATTATGGATTAACTCGTTGAAACACATTATATCGTCGTCATTTAGAATTGGGCTGACTATAACCTACAAGCTTATCTTGCGGAGTATCTGAACCTGAAATAGACAATAAGAACAATAAGACTATAGATCACACGTGTAGATTACTAACGCGTTGAACTTTATTCATAAAGAAGAGATCATTACAAGATGAATATCATACTAACATACAATAAAGATTTATTAGCATCAAATCTTTAAAGTCTGCTTGCAAATTAAGCTTCATGGTTTTTCTTCAGCTTTTTTACCGGTGTTATACCTGGAATCATCTGAAACCAAGCTAACAAAACTAATAAACTTAATAACACAATTATTTCAAAGGCCTTTCCTAAGAGAAATTATCGATTAACAAACAAAAACGATTTTATTATCACGATTTACTTGTGTAGTTGGTTATCACGATCAATCCTATGATGAAGACAAGAAGAGGATTGAAAGTGTAAAATAGTAACTTTATTAACTTGTAGAGTTATAAGTCTAGTACCAAGACTTATCTCAATCTCTGAGCAAAACTCTGTCGACTCAAGGTCAACTTACAGGTCTATTTATATAAAATAATTAACTAGTACTATACTACGCTTTTTGATAAATAAAATAATACATATAATGAAAACTAGAGAATATAATATAAGTAATAAAAAGTAGACTATATAATATTTATATAAAAAAGTAAATTTTTCAATATATGTATCATAAAGTCGATCAAACGATACATATGTATTATTTTCATAATATTTGGCATAATTGTAGATCATCTAAGGCGCAGTATGATTTATAACTAACACCGGTGTTAGACCTGGAATCGTCTCAAACCAAGCTAACAAAATAAATAAACTTAACAACACAATTATCTCAAAGGCCTTTCCTAAGAGAAATTAACGATAAAACAATTTATTATCACGATTCACTTGTGTAGTAGGTTATCACGATCAATCCTATAATGAAGACAAGAAGAAGG